TCACCGCCGATGGGACCAAAAACTACCCGAGCTAGTATTCGCAATTAATACAGCGGTACAGGAAAGTACAGGATTCACGCCGGCCAGGCTGACGTACGGCCGCGAACTTACCGCCCCGGGGACACTGCGCGCGCAGCACGAAGCGCCATTAGCAGAAGACATCGGGGAACCCGAAACCGCGACGCGCGAACACCGAATGGATCAAATGCGCGAGGAAGCCGCAACCGCCGCTGCGCGCCAACAGGACGCCACAGAACGCCAGGAACAATATTACAACCTCCGACGCCGCGACTGGCGCCCCGCACCTGGAGATCAAGTCATGAGGCGGGAACACCCGCTGTCGAAGGCCGGCGAACACTTCGCGGGAAAACTTGCGCCGAAATACTCCGGCCCGTATACAGTCGACCGAGCGATATCACCGGTCGTCTACCGACTTCGAGACCAAAACAACCGCCTGGTAGGAACCGCGCATGTGAAGGATTTGAAGGGTGTCGCGGACTCCTAAAACCAAAACACCAAAAGGGTATATATACGGGAACACGGACCGAGGAGAACAGAAAGTAGCGAAATGGGCAAGCTACGAAAACAGATCGAGAGAGCCGTCCCGAGAGCCAGAGCGCCCGTCCGTACACCGCCTCCGGGGATGACGCTGCAGGCCCCACGGTACGTGCCGCCCGCCGAGGCCCGACCACGAACCGCCCGCGCCTCTATTAGCGTGGAGAACCGAGGCAGGACCCCGGCCGTCGTACGCAACCGAACAGCACGGTCGAGGCAGGAGCTGCTGTACAACGCCGCCGCCCAGACGACCGCCGCTCTCGCCTCTGAACTCGAGGAGCTGTTTGGGTCGCTATCCGACCTGGAGGACGAGCCGATGCCGCCGGCACAAACAGGCACAAGACCCGAGGCCGCAGCCGCCACACCGACGTCGCAGCCCCCGCTGGGCACACCGGCCGCACCAGGGTTGCCGACGCCTCCACCAACACCGGCCACCACACCGACGCCCGGAGCCGAGAAAGCGCCGTCCGGACCGCCACCCGGCTACGGATACTTCACCGGCAGCCAGCCCACGACCAACCAGGGACGGCTAGACGGCATCCCCTGGGACCGCATCCGGCCAGGGCAACGATACCGACACCGCACGGCCGGACGCACGGTCATCGTCAAGCGCCTCCGCAACGGGGAATTCCGAGTCCGCGAGTAGATGTAACGTA